CATTCCCAGAACAAACTCATTATTATAGACAATATTTTTATAACTATTCCTACAATTTTTATCTGTACATATAACTACTAGACTACTACTTAGATTTTTACTGTAAATCCATTGTATTTTTACACTAAAGATGGATCAATAAAAAAAAACTACTATTATATTGGAGCTTAGAATTCAACGCTCAAATCGCAGGTAATGGCATTTCCGGGGTTCTAATTTTGAAAATTTTCCGGGGGGGGCATGCCCCCAGACCCCCCTAGAAAGCCTCGCGCCTTTGCCGCTCGAAGCATCACCAACAATTTTTGGCTGGCTTCGCCACTGTTGATATGTCAAAAGCATTCGACAGTCTAGACCACGGCATCTTGATCAAGTACTGCATTAAAATGTTCACGAGTTACTTAACAAACAGGTGCCAAACAGTCCGTATTAACTGTACACTCTCGGATACTCTAGAAGTGACGAATGGGGTACCACAAGGAAGCATATTTGGGACCTTGTTATTTAGCATTTACGCTAACGACCTACCATCAGTACCACAGCAATGCTCAACTGATTGTTACGTTGATGATACAAAACTGTATATGTGCTTTCCTGTTAGAGATTATGATCTAGCCATGGACCTCATGAATGATCTTACAAGAATTCGAAATTGGTGTTTCCAGAATTTATTGCTTTTAAATCCTGACAAAACCAACCTCATGGTTTACGGAACCAGACAGTTGATTACAAAACTACCTAGTGATTTTTGCCTTTCACTGTTGGAAAAGATCTTATCCCTGGAGATGTAGCGAAAGACTTGGGAGTGACATTTGATCGTAATCTAAATTTTAACGATCACATTGTGAAAGTGACAGCTTCGTGCATGTCAATTTTAGGACAAATTAACAGAATTAAACATGTTTTTAATAAGGAATTACTCATTATTATTATTATTATTATTATTAATGCCGGTGTTTAGCAAGCTTTTTTATTGCTCCTCCGTCTGGTCGTCAACCTCCGGGAAAAATATCAAGAAACTTCAATATATCCAGAACTTTGCCGCACGTAT